TTTACATAATTTTTTGTGTTCCATAATATCTGTCGTTTAATAAAACCAAAACATATTTAATATTTTTTTTCAAATTTACCCTTAATTTTTCAATGCATTAGATTTGGTGGAGGCAAAGTGTCTTTCATATTCTTTTCCTTCCCAATACGTATTGAATAAGAGTATTTTAGTTTTGTGTAATTATTTTTTATTCATATTAGAACTATTTAATAGTTTCCTTTATTTTTGTGTAAAAATCTTAAACGACAGATATTTAAAATCGGAGTAAACAGTAAATTATTCACTTGTGTATTGATGTGGAACCCACTAATAAATGGTAAAGGAGATGATATGGATCCTTTTCTCTTTTTTCCATCATTTATTTCTCTCTCTACTTTGTCTCTGTCGAAACAAGATGAATCTCCTCTTTTGGGAATAACTCTGTTGGGCAACATATTCTATGAATTGTGTGAATCTAAAAATGGTGTCAGGTTTCAAATTCCTTTACTTGATAGGAAAACTATATTTCTCAACTATTTTCAAGTAGATTTGCTAGGTCAAAGCACACAAATCATGGACTGTATTGCTGTTTTTTTACCTGATTGAGGTTGCATTAAGGGAATTTTAATTTTTCAGGTATAAAATAAGAATTTAAAGATAAAGAGTGCAAAGTGTCATTTGTCCTATTAATTTTCCCCTTTTTCTGCAGCTGAATTGAAATGAGAGTAATGCTCCGTTTGGTAGGGATAATAGAAATTAGGAAGGATACACTTTCCTTCCTTTGAATTTGGTTGGATAGATGAAAAATAAAAATGACTATTTTTTTTTTTGTGTGCTGGCTAAGATTAGGGGTGACAATCGAGTCCTGTCGTGTTAGATTCGTATTGAGTCATTACGGATTTGTATCGAATATTAATTAAACTTAACTTAACTTATTTAATTAATTGTATCGTGTCGAGTTGCGAGTTGACATGTTTATTTTCTTATCGAGTTTAAGACGTGTCATTGTGTTGAGTCGGAAATTTTCACTCTTAGTTAAGATGGAAAAAAAATATTTTTTTTAATTTAAAATTTTAATTTTAATTTTTTAATTTTTTTTATATTTTTATTTTTTTTAAAAAAAATTTTAATAAAAATATATATATATATATATATATATATATATATATTTTACCATTGTATTTTTATATGTAATTAATATATACATAATATATGTATATATAAAAAGATATATCTATATAATAAAAAATCTCATAATTTGAATTTTATCTCAGTCATATTTTCCCCCTCAAAACCGTCACTAATCACTTACCTCACCCATCATCCCTCTGTCAGACTCAAACGTCGCATCACTCATTTTTATCACATATTTAATCATTTATATATTTCGTTCCTACAAATATCATATCACTCATTTCTATCATATATTTAACAATTTAATATTTAATTAATTTGTAGTTAATATAATTTTTATTTCAAACATTATTCATATACAATATTATACACATCTTAAAAAAATTTAATATAGTGGGATTGATTTTTTGGGCACTTAAATTATATATTTTATCGTGTTTTCGGGCACGGGTTATGACTAGTAAACAAATAAGATACATCTCAATACAAATAATTAACTTTGCATCCACTTTCCTTCCGATTTTGGAGATATTAATTTTGGTGAGTTAAAAGGAAAGTTAATCCATCCACTTTTCCATCTTTCTTACTTTCATTCCTTACTAAATATGTTTTTTTATTTATCCTTCTAACTTTTCATCCTCTCATTTTTTCATCGTACAAAACAGAGCATAAAATCAGTAGATTAAATTAATATAACTAAAAGATTATTGTTCCTAATAGTTTCTGTGATTTTCTTGTAAAAGATTGATTTACTAATTAGTACCAAGTATGTTGTGGACATTGTGGTTTAGCTCATGAGATAGATCTACTTACCACCTCTTTTTTAATACCAATGCTTGTATGGGGTACCCATAAGTTGGCTATATTCTTTGTCTACTTTTACTTTAATACTTAGCTTAGCACTTTGAACATATGACCATCGGAGATCTCAAGATTCAAGGATATTGAGAGATAAGTCAGCAGAAAATCTGCCCCATGATCAGCAGAAGATCTGCTGTAGAAGCAGTTCAGCACAGCACCTTGAAAACATGAAGAAGTTCAGCACAACACCTTGGAAACATAAATGCTTTCTTATCTTGATTAATAGCTACTGCCAGCATTTTTCAAACTATTTTTATTCTTTCTTTACCTGTATAAATTACCCTATAGATTTTCTCTGTTTTTAAGTGTTCAACTGCATATTTTGAGTATATTCAATCTTTCACGATCTTCTTGTTCCAATCTATTTTCTCTCAACAAAATTGTAGCTTATCTTTCTCATCCTTCATTAAATTCTAACAGGAGATGTATGAGGTTAACTGAATATGGTCAGGGCATTTTCAGTTTATGATCGGCTTGCATTCTCTTGGGTAGTTTCTTTTACCTGAAGTATTCACCGACGCCTCCTCGGATTACGTCTGACGTTCCGTTCCATACCCAAGAGTCTTCGATCCTTGGAAATTGTAAAGTTGGAGGGACAATAGCAGGTGGTCGGTGGTACGAAAAAATACATTGGGTATATGAGCTTTATCAGAGTTTGAGTATATCAGATTTACTAATATCAGGTTTGTGTGATGAATGAAGATTGGGTGCCTAATGTCTATGAGTAACTTGTAACCATATAGTGAAAATTGGTCACCCATAGAATTCTACCGAACCATGTAAATCCTTTTGTTCATTGTTCTTGTTTGCTTTTCTTTCTTGTTTGATTATTCACTGCACTGCATTTTACTGGATGACAATTTGGGTTGAGTCTGCCATAGGGTAAGTAATCTTTTACAAAGCAATATATCTCTGCCTTGGAGTCTAAGGGCTAAAAAATGGGTCAAATTCAGAATACAATAATAAAGTTTGGAAGTCTTGTAAGAATCAATATTCAGGAACCATAACCTATTTTGAGCTCATTCATCAAAATGCAAGTGATTGTGAGAATATCGACTTGTTTCTTTTCTTTTCCTTGAAATTCCATAACTTTAACTTCTCTTGGTGGTGTTCTTTGTCCAACTGCTCCTTCTTTTGTTTTGCTTACCAAGGTAGCAAATAGCGAAACTCAGAAACATAAGGCTGAACTTCTACCATTTTAGCATTAGGAGATTTTGCTTCACCATTTAGGCACTCCATGATCAGCTTTTTCAACATGGTAGAATGTGGTAGTTGGCTATAAATCCATTCCAGTAGCGAGTCCATGTCATCTGCGAAATCTTTCATATGCCACTGCAGAAGCTTTGGCACCACAATCTTTTTCTTGTTTGTAACTCCCACAGAAGCTTCCAAATACTCCACTTTTGCTCTCTCCAGTTCATTCACAACTGTGTCAGGTGTATAGATCCTTATCTGCAATCACAACATTAACTATGCTATACTGGTTTATAAGCCCTCTAGGACAGGATAGACTATTTTCAATATAACGCAAACTACAGCATTATAATGCACTTACAGCTGGTGAAGACCAGCTGCCTCGGCAAAGAGCAAATGTGATATTAGGTTCTGGATACCCTAGACCATAGGCATGCCGCAATAACATTTCCTTCTCATCTGTTGGCCCCTTTAGATCAAATATGAAAATGTCAGACAAATGCAGAACTTCTTGAGTCTACCTAGTCAAATTCATATTTCATAAACGTCCTGCACTATCATATGCTGATGCATTCTAAAATCCATCCTAGCTGTATTTATCTCTACTCACCTGTTTAGAATCTGATGGATGACGGAGAATGAAGTGCTCAATAGCCAAAGCATTTAGTACAATGCCACCCACATTCATAGCAGCCTGGGGGGTAAGAAATGCATCATCATATAGCATAACAATCTTCATAGTCCTCGTCTTATTTTTTTTTTCAATTGCTTTACTCTGCCAGCACCAATTTATTATGGAGTAGATTTCTAAAAGATTTGAACAGTCAGTCCTAGGTATGTTTTGTGGTTCCAGTTTGTGCTTAACTAGTTCTTTCTATAATTGCATAACTGCAGTAATTTTGCCAGACTTGACATGCATACCTTGTTCATGAGAGCTAGTAGTTTCTCCTGTGTGGAAGGCAACCCATGTTGTAAAAATGCCTGGAATAGATAATGCATTACTGTTATTAGTGTGTGATATATGTATCATTTTTTCTTATTTACGAGACTCAAGATGTCTTACAGTACATGCATTATGCAGCCATTGTAGATGTTAATCCAGAATGCTAACTTCTGCTTGTAGGTCAAGTAAGTTAAGTCCACATTGCAGAGCTTATGCATTAATATCCTGGAAGCAATGAGCAATTTAAAGGGTTCTTTACAAGTTAAAAACTAGTTATCGCACTTAGAAACTAGAGAACTACCTCAATTTTCCCATCGCTGGAAAGCATTCAGAAACACGGCCAGTGTCCAGTGAATTTCGGGTGATTTGGACAAAAGTTTTGTACGGGCCAACATCTCTGATAGTGCCATCTAGATCTGGTAATATGCCATAAGGGTCAAGGTTTGACGAGCTATCATCGAATGAACATGCAGGTATTGTACAGTTGAATGAGGTTTTCGACATGAATCCTTTTGAGTTCTTGCAGGAGAGAGGATACTTGGGAACAATGGCAGATCTTTTGGTGTCCAATGGTGCCTGGTTCAGTTGCAGAAATATGCCTATCAAGCATTTGATCAGTTCTTCTGAGAGCTTATTTGGTTTCTCGACAACAGCTGCATCTGTTTGGCTATAATTTCTGCCTCTTCTGGAACATCTTGAATTCTCTGCAATTTCCTCTGTTCTCACAACCGAAAACTAGAGGTAAGGTTTAGTAATTTTATTCATAACATTTTTTTTAAGTGTACAATCACTTAAGAGGGTGCAACCCATGTATGATGGTTGATTTTTTATAACCAAATACTCCATATATGCCTGAAAACAATAATCAAGGTCAAAATCCGATAGCATCGGACTTTGGTTATTCGACCCCATCAGTAATGGTGTGTGATGAATCCTTTGTGGTTGTGGGGTGTGATGATACTATGTTCACAGAAAGCATTTTATGGTATTTTACCGGTGGATCTTGTGGAAGACATGCTTTGGATATCCGTTGAGGACCCCATAGAAGCTCTTCTGCCTCTCACAAGTTTATCCTTTCTATATTCTTCACAATTTAGTGATCTGGAAAGCAATTCAAAATCCTTTAGCTCTGTTTGATTTCCCTCTCTGCTAATTAACTGCATCTGTTGCTGCTGCCCCCATTGCTGCCACAGCATTTCTTGTTCTTTGGTCTTGCTTTTCTCTTGGTGCAAGCTGAATTTCAGCTCATCCACTTTTCTCTCCAGCCAAATTATTTCTTCTTCAACCATAGCCAGTTCTGCAAGAAGCACTCGAACCTGCATTTTTAAACAATCCAGCTATTGAGAACATTCTTTTTCAGTGAAAGCCTTTGGGATTATTAACTTGAACAGTTTGTGTTCTGTGTTCAGTGTCTTAATCCTTTGTGTCAAGTACCATCCAGAACAGATTAGTGTCTAGTTGGATGTGGTGTGTCACCATTGTATCCTAATAGGATTGAATGGCAAAAATGAGATCATGCTCTCCAGCAGAGTAAATGTTTCAAGGGTTTTGTCATCTCTCTCTCTCTCTCTCTCTCTCATAGATACATCGAGCCTTTGAAGTGTTTGGTTTAGGGAGGGAATCTTGGACAAAAAAATGTTTGGGCCTACCTTATTCTATTTACTCTCTTGTTTGGATACATTTTTTGGACCCAGTATTATCACCTGACCCGAATGAATAGTAGGACTATTTTTAAACACACATATACCTTCTTAAATAAACCCACCAATTTGGTGGGTTTAAATAGTCCAGTTGGGATGTGTTTTGACAAAAAAATATTTTTACTCTCAAGAATCTCTAGAATATAATTATCTCGAGGATTTTTTAATAATTTAATGTTTATACCATCATTCAATACTTCATTCAAACAAAATATTGGATGAGATAAATGTAGGTCCACTACTTCTTAATACTTGAACCAAACATGAGACAAATAAACATTATCACTATAATTAATTCAAGACCCGGATGAATGGGTATGAGATTGATGGGTTTGTCCAATCTGATACTACCTAGTGCCTAAACCAAACACATGCGCTACTTCAATAAATTGGCAAATGTATCAGTTGAGAAGATTGGAAATAAGTCTTTCTTTATATAACATTCATACCTTGTTTGGAAGCAATGAGGAAAGACATGAGCAAGAATGAACAGGTCCTTGTAGTGCACATTGCAAGATCTTTTTCAGTTTCAGCTCCCCATCTAATTCTGCTTCCAATTTCTCAACCTGCAACATATTTATTGTCAGGAATTACATTTCTCCAACCATTTTGGAAAAAGGTAATCCTATCCGGGGAAACACCCCCCCGGATAAAGAAAAGGCCATGATATCTCACCTCCTCCTCCTTAAGATCAAGTCTTCTCTGCTTATCCTCGCTTGGCTGCATCAATAAGTCTTCAAATTTCATTATTCATTTACTATTACACCATGAATTTGAGAACCTCAGGGGTTGTAGTAGTACTAATGGAATTATTATCCACTCCACACGCCCCCGCGCACGCACACACAGTGATAGAGAGTTTGGGTGGATGATTCTGAATATAGGATTTCATCATTAAAGAGAACAGGTTATCGCATAAGAATGCTCAGTGGAAGAGTTTGACACAAAACCTATATATAAGGGGGGGGCTGTGTGTGTGTGTGTGAGAGAGAGAGAGAGAGGGAGAGAGACTGTCTGTGTGTGTGTTTGTCTGGTTCAGTAGACCGTGAACTCACCTACATTTAAATTCAAGGAGGAGGTGAGAGACGTGAAGCCCATGAACAGTTTTAACATCCAACCGCTATCTAAAAGGGGTACGAAAGTGTAAATGGAATCATGTTGGAGATTGACATTTTCAATTTCATTTTTTGGACCCCAACTAAGATGGGCCCACATTACCAATTTCAATGCTTCGGTGACAGGTCAACAACAAAAATGTTTGGAGATGATATAAATAAAAAAACGCCGTCTGTGGGAATCGAACCCACGACCACGTGGTTAAAAGCCACGCGCTCTACCAGCTGAGCTAAGACGGCTTCTTTAGTCTTGTTGTCTCAGTATTATAGTATCTCATGTATGCCAACTAGTTCATAATTCAAAGTGTGTTTTTTAGCTACAAGATATCGAGAAACCAGAGCAGTCTGAGTGGTGACCCTTTGAGAATATAAGAAGTGTTAAATCTGATACTTGTGTTATTAGAGGTTAAACTCAATCACTTAACTATCCCTAAGAATTGTGATTGAAAGTGTTTAATTGCAAACAATCTCTCTTTTATTTGGGTTAAAGTGAAAGTTTTGCACATCGAATCTTAGTTCTCGTTTTTTCAAACGTTCCCCCAAAATATTTTGAAAATAAATATATAGAAACCCACATACTTTAAACTCTTTGTTCTTTTTGAAATTTCACTGACACCAAGTTATGTATAATGAAATCAATTGACTATATGTGTCTGAATTCTTATGTAATCTCTATGAAGAAAAAAAAGTTGAGAACTCAAAACTTTTGTTAGTTTTGGGTGACTGAGTGAGTTTCCTACCTTGTCCGAATAGCATTTTGAACTCTTGTCAGTTGCTTTTGATACACCATTCCTTGACATAAATTATGTGCTTAGTCTGCTTTGACGCCTAGAAAAATTGGATGGGTGACCATTTGGTTGGTTTTAAAATTTCTGGTGAGTTCCACAAAATGTCTTTGCTTCACTTCATTTCGAGCATACCTAATTCGTATGGTTTGTGGGTGTTTACACATCTCGAGTTATTTTTGATTCCAACATTGTAGGTGTTATTCCAACATCTCGACAACAGAAGACATCTTAGTTAAGATTTGATGGTAGGAATCTTGCCAGTTACTAGGGATCAAGATCTTACGATCAACAACAGCAATTCGAATGAACTAAAATGTTTGAGTCTTTGAACTCAAGGGAATGTTCAATAACTTTCATAATTTAACAACAAATTACATGTCTACAAATTGACAAAACTGGTAATGGAACTAGTAGGAAACATCACTTTGCTTCCATCCACCATATTCTTCTTCATCACGTTCTTCTTGTACCTATCAATTTGTACAAAAACAACAAACAGATGTTATCTTTGGTTAGGAAAACATGGTAACTTTAAGGATTATTTGTGATGTTAAAGGCTTTTTTTTGGATTCAACGGTTAGGAGTGTGTCTGGACAAACTTAAGCGCGACTAATCCTCTCTCTAGTTCAGTCATCTATGCTGAGATTACAATATTCAAGCCCTCGTGACCTGATCCATGGAATTGCCAAGATTCAAACTCAGGACATTTGAGTTTACAGCTCATATCTGTTACCACTTGAGTTGTCCTTGGGGTATTTAATGAGTGTTTTTGCCATTCAAAGATTGAATTCTCTCCATGCAGTGGTTTCTGCTATTTAGCATGACAGTGGTTATGTGGTGACATATATACATTGTGAAGCTTGGATTAGCTAATCAGTGCCCCTAATAACCACTTCATCCAACCTAGGTGTGCAATCCAGTGGATTTGGAGGTCAAACTGAGCTTAATCTAAAGTTATAAAACCTCTAAACCAAGTTTAACACGAACCCTTCAATCCGAATACTATTCATGCTTATTTTTTTGAAGTTAGATCGAACTTTGGATACATAGCTCAAGTTTCAATTTGACCAGAGCAATGCCCAAATTTAAATCTAGTTTGGATTCTTTTGCTCAAGTTAAATTTAAGCATTGAAAACCTCTACCCAATTACTGATTATTCGGGATCCCTTCAATTTTCACCCCTAATTCAAACGATAGCATTGCTTATGGATGCTGGTCTTCCTTGGTCCTGGTGGTTTGGTTGTGAATTTCCAACCTCTAGGCCAAGGGTTCAAGGCTGGTAGAGAGAGAGAGAGAGAAGCATTGCTTATGGACAATCCATATGGAGATGTACTACTAGCCCTCTGGTCCTAACTGTTGCCTGACAAATACCTTAAATTTGCATTTCAAAACAATCTATTTCTGTGGGCTGTTTACAAAATTACCTTTTGGTTGAAGGTGATGCCAACTTGAATCTCTCCGCTGTAACTTTGGTCACTGTAGACAACGCTATATTTGCGAGGAGGTAGTTCAGCGGTTCCATTCTCCACTCCTATTTCCAAAAATTCCTTCAAGTAGATGCTGCATGTGGACCATTAGTCAATATTGAGTAGAACCAACAAGGAAGTGATTAAGAAACAAAAACTTGGCATTTATATTTCTTGTGCTACATTCTTGTAGTTTTTCCTAAATGAGTATGTAGGATTGAAGCCACTTTCTCCTTTCTGTATTGCTACAACCGTAAGTTTTTTAGATATAGGGAAGTAAAATGAATTTGACTCAAACTATGGGTAGGCAAAATGTAAAATTTACCCATCTGATTATTACCGGCCATATAGTACTCCTATATTCCAGCATAACTATTTGTTCTTTGCTCAAACGCTATCTATATAAATAAAACCCAAAGCTCTAGAATATAAACGTATAACTATGGTCTAGATTATTTAGATTTTACGAATTAACTTTTTAACTATACTTTTAACCACATTAGATATTTTCATCAAAAATAAATATTTTATCCACCCCCATTTGTATTTTGATTATGGTAAGAAACACATGTATTTGACAAGGACTATTTTCAACCCTCTGTAGCTTTTCCTCCATTCTGATCAGTAAAGTTGTGGTTGCTGCCTCAGCATAACTTGTACAAACTTTTGATCCAACACACATAAATATCAGATAGATGTATGGTTTTGGCAGATAAATTTTGAACTATGGGAGAACTGAGAATAATGCGATGCCTTACGTTGCTTGGCCTAGGTAGTCGTCAGCAGTGAAGCTATCTTTGTCCATGATCTTGAGGATGAGCTTGTAGTGGTCATCTGCCCCTGGATACTCCACCCTGAACATAAATTTTTCATTCCACACCGGAGCTCTGCCCTGTCCTGTGCCATTGATTGATATACAGGTGTAGATTGTGAGATTAAACTACCAAAGTTGTGTGCAATAGAAATAATAAGAGTCCAAATCGATTATGAAATATTCACCAACAATCTATTCAGGTGCAGCTCTAAGGAAGACGAGATTTGACCTTCTTACTTCAGAACATAAATTTGGGGAACAAAAAACTTGAAAGGGCAAGTTTAATTCAATTACTTTGGAAGGATTAAAACTACCAAGACCAACATCAGTATGGATCAAAAAGAGGGAGGAATTGCTGTTGTAGCTTGCATGAACTGGCCCAGTTTGATCAAGTGAGCTTCGATGTATCGTCTTTGCTTTGATAAGACTATTACAACAACAATGTTATACACACCACCTTAATATAAACCATTAGATTAGTGGGTCCTATTAACTTCATTGAATACTTAAAAGTTGAGATCATACCACATCAAATTGAAATGATATTATGCTATAAAAGTTGAAGGATGAAATTGATTGAAAAAACTTCAAAGATCAACAGCAGAATTGAGTATGATTATAATCATCACTTTTTCACCTGAAAAAGGCTCAATGAACAATTTCAGCCTTCGATGGCTAGCAGGGATTTGCGCATCATTTTTCTATTTTTTTTTTTTAATAAAAATATAACACGTGTAATATTGTTTGTTTTATTATTTTCACAATCAACGACTACAAATTACATCACACTAAGACGGAAGATCACCGTTCTATTTTAGTATGTTATCGAAATTTTTTTAGATACCATCATATGCACGATAGTAGGTCCACGTGCGATGTGCCCAGAAATTTTTTCTTTGTTTTTTATTGGAATATTTTGAAGTTTTATTCACCTATAGCAGAACTCCACCAGAATATGGCTACATAGACTTACTTTGACCAGTCCCAACCTACCTGGGTCAGGTTACATCTCGGAATTTATTTTTGTATTTTATCTGCGTCATACATAAATCATTGTTTTAGGTGAAACAACGTTGACTCTCTACAGTAAACAAAAATCACCCAATCACATTTTATCTTAAAATAAAGATATGGAAGACTTTTCTTATGGTCAACTATATCCATAGTTATAAGGGGTCAATAATTGTTGAATTATGAGTATCTCAAACCTTCTTAAACTTTGAAATTTAAATTAGGGTTAATTGCACCGTAATCCTCTAAAGTATATAATTTATCTCATTTTTATTTTGGTCCCTGAAATATTGAATATGTTTTTATATGGTCCCTCAAGTAGACAACGTTCAGATTATTAACGATTTTTTATCATAAATTTATCATGTGATACTTAAATATGGACAAAAAATAATTTAGATAACTCTTGATTAAATTTTTATTCAAATTTTAGTTAAATAGTTTTCTAAATTTCACAGTTCTGATCATGAACTATTTAAATTTTGGTCAAAAGTTATCAATATTACACATTTTTTTTTTATCAAAAACTACCCAAATTTTATTTAAGAGCTATCAAAATTATTTTTTGTCTATATGTATATTTAACTATTACGTGACAAATTTATAATAAAAAATTATTAACAATATAGACATTGTCTATTTGAAAAACCATATAAAAACATATCGAATACTAATCCAGCTATCGGTATAGGGTTATGGCGTAAAAATTTGAAAAGCGTAGGAAGTACAGTAAAATAGAGTTTTGAGTGTTTGGGTACGAACTTACCTCGAGCAACGCCGCTCTTGCGCTCCTGGCTTTTGTACTGAACCAAAACATAGGGATCTATTCCACCACCTACACCATATCACACCCCCAAAAAATTAAATTAAAATAAAATAATATAAAATTCACTATTTACTTAGACGACTTAGTCCACATTACTAATCTCCCGTAGTCTGTCCAAAACTCCTAAAAGAGTAATCGACCAAAAAAGTCAAAATAAAGATGATAGTGGCAGCCAGCCACTTGATAGATATCGTAAATTGGCATTGAACAAGGGTTCGATACTCCGGGGTGAAAATGCTTCTTAAGGCCACCTCTCCTAAATTTAATCCTTGTGTCCTTCAAAATATAATAACCAAGAAGGAATGAGGTTGAAATTTTTTCCAAAAAAAAAAAAAAAACCAACTAATGTGACATTATTATAATAAAAAAAATTAAATTTCAAATGTATAAAAGTGTGACAGACAATACTATTATGAAAATATCACATTATTTAGTACCTATTTTTGTATATATATTTTTTTGGTCAATCTAATATTACTGCACCAAAAACACAGGTTTCTGCATGTTCGTTCATAGTTCTGAAGATGAAAACATTTTCCAAAACACATTACAACTTTACGACTGAAGGAAATATTAGGAGAAGGTATAACAGAAATTTTTACCCGAGAAGTCTGTGTTTTTGAGACCTTTAGCACCCACCAGCGTCACCTCCATTGTTCCGATCGTCATCTCTCTCTCTCTCTCTCTCTGATTCCAAGAGATTCTTCAGAAGTGTCTTACTAGTGTATACAATGACTCATCACATCACCATGGTTTATATCGCCAGTTAAATGACAGGTGATACAGTGACGGGTCGTAATATTTTTTCATTTTCTTCCTACGGTCTTAACAGGTTGGCCGATTCGACCAGAAATTAATATTAAATTGATGAGTTTGAGTTTTAATTTAACACAACTATAATTCTATAATATAAAATCAAACTGGCTTAAATAAGTTTATTCGACCGTCTCAAATAGACTTATTTAACGGTTACCAATATCCCTCTTAAAATTATTTACATTAATTTATATTGCACCGTACTTTCAGACACGAGTTATTCCTAATTTGTNTCAAAATATAATAACCAAGAAGGAATGAGGTTGAAATTTTTTCCAAAAAAAAAAAAAAAAACCAACTAATGTGACATTATTATAATAAAAAAAATTAAATTTCAAATGTATAAAAGTGTGACAGACAATACTATTATGAAAATATCACATTATTTAGTACCTATTTTTGTATATATATTTTTTTAGTCAATCTAATATTACTGCACCAAAAACACAGGATTCTGCATGTTCGTTCATAGTTCTGAAGATGAAAACATTTTCCAAAACACATTACAACTTTACGACTGAAGGAAATATTAGGAGAAGGTATAACAGAAATTTTTACCCGAGAAGTCTGTGTTTTTGAGACCTTTAGCACCCACCAGCGTCACCTCCATTGTTCCGATCGTCATCTCTCTCTCTCTCTCTCTCTGATTCCAAGAGATTCTTCAGAAGTGTCTTATTAGTGTATACAATGACTCATCACATCACCATGGTTTATATCGCAAGTTAAATGACAGGTGATACAGTGACGGGTCGTAATATTTTTTCATTTTCTTCCTACGGTCTTAACAGGTTGGCCGATTCGACCAGAAATTAATATTAAATTGATGAGTTTGAGTTTTAATTTAACACAACTATAATTCTATAATATAAAATCAAACTGGCTTAAATAAGTTTATNTGAAAATATAATAACCAAGAAGGAATGCGGTTGAAATTTTTTCCAAAAAAAAAAAAAAACCAACTAATGTGACATTATTATAATAAAAAAAATTAAATTTCAAATGTATAAAAGTGTGACAGACAATAATACTATTATGAAAATATCACATTATTTAGTACCTATTTTTGTATATATATTTTTTTAGTCAATCTAATATTACTGCACCAAAAACACAGGATTCTGCATGTTCGTTCATAGTTCTGAAGATGAAAACATTTTCCAAAACACATTACAACTTTACGACTGAAGGAAATATTAGGAGAAGGTATAACAGAAATTTTTACCCGAGAAGTCTGTGTTTTTGAGACCTTTAGCACCCACCAGCGTCACCTCCATTGTTCCGATCGTCATCTCTCTCTCTCTCTCTCTCTGATTCCAAGAGATTCTTCAGAAGTGTCTTATTAGTGTATACAATGACTCATCACATCACCATGGTTTATATCGCAAGTTAAATGACAGGTGATACAGTGACGGGTCGTAATATTTTTTCATTTTCTTCCTACGGTCTTAACAGGTTGGCCGATTCGACCAGAAATTAATATTAAATTGATGAGTTTGAGTTTTAATTTAACACAACTATAATTCTATAATATAAAATCAAACAGGCTTAAATAAGTTTATTCGACCGTCTCAAATAGACTTATTTAACGGTTACCAATATCCCTCTTAAAATTATTTACATTAATTTATATTGCACCGTACTTTCAGACACGAGTTATTCCTAATTTGTAATAAACAAATTCATCAAATTAATAGGCAAATACCAACTTTATTAAAGACAACACAAAGTTATTAAAGATGACCTATATACAATACGACAGTCAACATCAATCTGAGCATATCTTCTGTCTAATATTATAGGTAAAAAAATTAAATTCTCGATTTATAAAGTCATAAAAATGATTAAGATTGATCCAATTTTTATCTATTTTGATCCAATAATTCAAAATTTGAATCATTTTTTNTGGACTTATAAAGTCATAAAAATGATTAAAATTGATCCAATTTTTATCTATTTTGATCCAATAATTCAAAATTTGAATCATTTTTTTTTCTTGCTAAAAAAGATTACATTCTCTACATGCTCTAATACTAAACAACCCCATTAATTCACACTTATCTTTCACTTATTTTTTCTCCGTTCACTTTAATTTTAACTTGCGTAATTAAAAAAAAAATTTATTATTTAAAATATAAATATTGTTCGATAAATGCTCTTTTTTTTTATATTGTATNGCTCTAATACTAAACAACCCCATTAATTCACACTTATCTTTCACTTATTTTTTCTCCGTTCACTTTAATTTTAACTTACGTAATTAAAAAAAATAAATTATTATTTAAAATATAAATATTGTTCGATAAATGCTCTTTTTTTTTATATTGTATAATGTCTTTAAATACAAAATTATTATTAATTTATATAATAAAACAAGAGTGTGTTTGAATTTTATCTCAATCATATTTTTTCCCTCAAAACCATCACCAATCACTTACCTCACTCATCATCTTTTTGTCAGANTTTATTTAATAAAACAAGAGTGTATTTGAATTTTATCTCAATCATATTTTTTCCCTCAAAACCATCACCAATCGCTTACCTCACCCATCATCTTTTTGTCAGACTCAAACGTCAAATCACATCACTCATTTCTATCACATATTTAATTATTTATATATTTTATCCTTAAAGATATCACACTACTCATTTCTATTATATATTTAATTATTTAATATTTAATTAATTTATAATTAATATATTTTAAAAAAATTTAATATAGTGACAACGATTTTTTGGACGTTCGAATTTTATATTTTATCGTGATTTTAAGCCCAGGACTATTATAAAGAGAATGGGTATGGACTGAATACATTTTCACACGACACAAGTTAGAGGAAGGAGAGATAGGGCTGCCTGTAGGTTTTGGTACATTAGAAATNGTTATGACCATGACCAGTACTATTATAAAGAGAATGGGTATGGACTGAATACATTTTCACACGGCACAAGTTCGAGGAAGGAGAGATAGGGCTGCCTGTAGGTTTTGGTACATTAGAAATGTGTTTGATGAAATTTTTATTAGACCTACTGTTTTGGACTAGATTAGAGTAGTAGCACCGGCAGACTTATTCAAACTTGTTTCTAACGTGCAAAGATGAGGAAAGAAATATTAAAACAACAGAAACTGACAAAAACTAATTAAATGACCAATTAAGACTGTTTGGCTGCTCCGTTTTGAAATTAAGACTTCCTCAGGTTTTCACATTCTTTCTCAATACTACTATTTCTTTTTCTTTTTTTTTTTTGGGAGCGGGAAGACGAACAGGAAGAAGAAGAAGAAAAAAAAAAATTTTAATCTTTGATCTTAAAAAGGTAAAGTATTTATAAAACAAGAAGTATTATTGAATCAAGATTCATTGGTCCTTAATATTACTTATGGAATAAAATAATAGGATAATTATCATTGATACTTCTCTAAATAGGTATATCTTTAATGAAACTTCTTTTATTGTCAAATCGATGAAGTTGATTAAAATGTATTTTTATTAAATTGTTCATAATCTATTTTAAGAAAAATTTCATCCACACCTCCTTTAAATAGACATATCTTTAATAAGATCTCCTCTATTTTTTAATTTTTTATGTATTAAAACTTGAGTCTATTAAAATTTATTTTTATACGTATTAAAATTCAAGCCGATTTGAATTCAACTTGAGCTGGCTAGCACTGATTAAAATTGGATTTAAATCAATTAAAATTTATATTTTTTTACGAATTAAAATTCGGACCAATTAAAATTTGATTCAAGCTATTTAAAATTTATTTTTTAAGTATTAAAAATTTAAGTTGATAAAAAATTATATTATATACTAAAATTCAAGCCAATTAAAATTTAATTTAACTTGTTTTTAATCAACTCAAATTTAATACGTAAAAAAATATAATTTTTAATCTATTCAAATTTTTATATGTAAAAAATTAAGTTTTAATTGGCTCGAATCAAATTTTAATTGGCCAGAATTTTAATGTGTAAAAAAATAAATTTTAATCGTTTCAATTTTAATATGCAAAAAAATGAATTTTAATCGGCTAGAATTTTAATCAAATTTTATGTAGAAAAATTGGTTGGGGTTTATGTAAGGACAATTTTGTATTTTAGATGATTTTTTTTTTTTTTGGTTCGAAACAATGGGTTAACTGCAGGAGATGTCAATGATATTTTGAATAATGTAGGGTTTTATTGATGATATATCTATCTAAATAGGTGTAAATGATAATTACCAAAATAATACTATCTCCTAAGAATTGAACATTTAATAATTAAATAAATGGGTCAACGTGAACTCAACTACACATCGTTATAACTGAGTCTTGAATTAATTGATATTTTTTTTAATATAACAATTAACACATCTCATTAGCTATTAATGGTCCAAATGTTACATTTATTCTAGCTAAAGAGCCAAAGGGTTTTAAAGTTGTTTATGGTACCTAAAAAAAATGGTATTGTACTGATATTTATCATGTCTATAGGTATTTTTATTATTATTGTGAGTATTTTTTGTTGTGGTACCGAAGAAAAATAATAAAAATAGGTACCACAGCAGCATTAAAAACACCCACAAAGTGATAAATTATTCATAAAAGTGATAAAAATTTTATTATATAAATACCTACAAAAATTATAAAAACACTCACAAAATTAATAAATTTTGGAGCTAAGGTACAGAATTTTTTTATGCAACATCATAGTCAAGTCTAAGGTTTTTTGTTGGACAAGATGACCCAACGTTGAGGCATTTTCTTTTTGTTTAATTTTTGAAAGCGTGGAAAAGAAGTAAATACAAACATCTTGAATTTAAAACTTAACAATTATATTAGAGTCTTCACAAGATATTATCTCTCTTGATTT